TTTCTCACTTAGATATACTCTTTTTTAGTGGCTTTATTTGAAGATGGTTTGTTGGGAGAAAGGGAACACTAAGTACTGAGGCTGTAGCTGGAGGTAATAATCCCTATCCTTTTGTGGATATTCTTTTTATTCTTGAAGTTTATCTAGGTTCTTTTGCATTGTGTGCTTTAACTTTTAGGCCTTTTGTCTATCAAAGAGTGTTGACATAAAATTAAAAACAACAAATGATTAATTGTGTTTCATTTTTTGTTGTAGAAATCAATTATCTATTCAGGGTTAAACTAACAAGACAAACTTCAACCAACGAGGGGTTGGATCAAGTGGTAAGCGGCTTGTTCCATCTTAAGCAAGGTCTCGAGTTCGAGTCCTTGTGTATGCAGCAGCCCCCGCTGGGAGACTCACCCACCATTTTCAGGTGCGCGACGCGGGTCGGGTTCGGATTAGTCGTGGCGAAGCCTCGGATACCGGGCGGGAAACCAAAAAAAAAAAACAAGACAAACTTCACTATTTAGTGTTGATAGTGTTTTATGAGTGTCTAGTTGATATGCCTTATGCAATGTGAAAATGTATTTTAGGAAATATTGATGACAAGGGAATATTATGTAAAAGATGCATTATATTGGATACTCAATTGAGCGATTTAATTGTGTGTGATTGAAAGTTCCAAACTTTGACCATGAATATATGAGGACTTTGTTTTGGCTATTATTGTATACTTAGCTGAGCCATTCTTCCTATCTCATTCTTTCATCTCTCTTTCTTTCTCCTTTCTTTTGTTAACAAAACTGAAAAGATAGAAATCCATGGAATCCGATAGCCTTGCATAGAATTCACTAGTTTCTGTATGAATTTATGAATTTTTATTTTTGTAAAACCTTTAAAACTACAACATATGCTATATTATTGAAAACTTTACAAACCCCAATGCTTATGTGTTCATTTAAAATTGACCGATGCAATGTTTGGCCATTCAAAGTTGGACTTGACACCATACCCTGCAACACTAGTTATGGAACTAGTTTAGTAATAAATGTAGCAACAACAACATACTTCATATATTATTCACTGATCATCTGGGTTGCCATTGAACATCTTCTTAACTCTTGCCACTTTCAATGTTATAACCACAAGGATCCAATGTTGGACATCATCCACCCATCGAAAATAAGCATATCTCCAAGTTTTTACAAAAATTAGAGTTCCCACAACTCCCCAAAATCCAGTTGCAAAGCCTAACATCACGACGATGTAAAACCACATTCTTGTAAGTGCACCTTCATCGTTGTCCTTCAAGTTGTCAGTTGGTGGAGGTAGCACATCATTTGAGCATTTCTTCAAGAGTGGAGCCCCACAAAGTTGAGGATTACCGACGTAAATGGTTGGATCTTCGAGTGTTTGGAGCTGATAGCCTGTTGGAATTGGCCCTGACAAGTTGTTGTAGGACAAGTTGAGGTGGCTTAACTTGGTTAAACTTGACATACTGTTCGGGATTGTTCCTGAGAGGCCATTTTGGGAGAAATCGAGAGATTCCAAATTCTCCATTTGTCCAATTTTCTCAGGGATCTTTCCTGAGAGATGATTCCAAGATAGATTCAAAATGTGCAAATCTTTAAGGAAAATTAGCTCATTTGGTATGGTTCCTATTAGATTATTACTCGAAAGATCTATACTGCTCTCGAGTCCTAGGGTTTTTCTTGTATACTCAAGGTATCTCCCTTTCACAACCTCCTTCAAATGTGCCCAAGACCAATAATTATCAGTAATGCGTTTCATCAATTGTGTTGCATTCACCATAATTGGAAACTTTCCAAAACAAGGAGGAATCCTTCCTGTCAAATTGTTATCCGCAAGATCCAAAATTTGCAATCGAGAGAAAAAGCATAGTTCCAAAGGAATATAACCAAAAACCAAATTTTTTCGTAGTCGAAGAATTTTTAAAGAATGGTTGCTGATCTCGCCTCCTACAATGCTTGTTAAATTTCCGAAAAATTTATTTTCACCCAAATCCAAAACCAGTAAAGAAGTGAAGCTTTTCAAGGCCATATGTAGTTCCCCATTGAGACTATTGTTGTTCAAGTGCAATACCAATAAATAAGAAAGTAACCCCATTGTGCTCGGAAACAAACCCGAGAGATTGTTAGAAGATAGATCAATAAAATGGAATGATTGATTCTTTCTCCAACAATTGGGAATACTTCCAGAAAACATATTGTTTGAGAGATCAAGAGCTTTCAAAAATTTTGAATTGCATAGCGACTTTGGAATTGAACCGTTCATGAGGTTATTTTTAAGATATAATTCTCGCAACATTGGCATCATATGATCAATGTTTTCTGGAAGAGGACCTGAGATGCTAGCATTAGAGAGATCAACCATGGTTGTTGTATTTTGCAATAGAAGCCATTTGGGAAATCCTATTCCCAATTGATTACTGGAAAGATCTATGCTCTCTAACTTAGTTAGTTGCCCAATACTATTTGGAATACTCCCACTCAATCGATTGCTAGACAGATATATAGTCTTTAACTTGGAAAGCTGCCTGATGCTATATGGAATACCCCCAGTCAACTGATTGCTTGAAAGAAGTATCTGCTTTAACTCAGATAGTTGCCCGATGCTATCTGGAATACTCCCACTCAATTGATTTTTAGAAAGATCTAAGAACTTTAACTTAGAAAGCTTCGCAATGCTATGTGGAATACTCCCACTTAATTGATTGCTAGAAAGATCTAAAGACATTAACTTAGAAAGCTGCATAATGCTATTTGGAATACTCCCACGCAATTGATTGCTAACAAGAGATAGCTGCCTTAACTCAGAAAGCTGCCCAATGCTATCTGGAATACTCCCACTCAGTTGATTTCCAGAAAGATATAAACACTTTAACTTAGAAAGCTGCCCAATGCTATATGGAATACTCATATTCAATGGATCGCCAGAAAGAAATAAATACTCTAACTTAGAAAGTTGCACGATGCTATCTAGAATACTCCCACTCAATTGATTGTCAGCAAGATCTATGCTCTTTAACTTAGAAAGTTGCTTGATGCTATTTGGAATACTCCCACTCAATTGATTGTGAGAAAGATCTATGCTCTCTAACTGAAAAAGTTGTCCGATGCTATCTGGAATACTCCCACTCAATTGATTGTTAGAGAGATCTATGCTCTTTAACTTAGAAAGTTGCTTGATGCTATCTGGAATACTCTCACTGAGTTGATTGCGACAGAGATATATGCTCTCTAACTTAGAAAGTTGCTTGATACTAAATGGAATACTCCCACTCAATCGATTATGAGCAAGATCTACGCTTTCTAACTGAGAAAGTTGTCCGATGCTATCTGGAATACTCCCACTCAGTTGATTGTTAAAGAGATCTATGCTTTCTAACTTAGAAAGTTGCTTGATGCTATCTGGAATACTCCCACTCAATTTATTGCTAGAGAGATCTATGCTCTTTAACTTAGAAAGTTGCTTGATGCCATCTTGAATACTCCCACTCAATTGATTGCTAGAGAGATCTATGCTTTCTAACTTAGAAAGTTGCCTGATGCTATTTGGAATCCTCCCATTCAATTGATTGCTAGAGAGATCTATGCTCTTTAACTTAGAAAGTTGCTTGATGCTATCTGGAATACTCTCACTGAGTTGATTGCAAGAGAGATCTATGCTCTCTAACTTAGAAAGTTGCCTGATGCTAAATGGAATACTCCCACTCAATCGATTGTAAGAAAGATCTATGCTCTCTAACTGAGAAAGTTGTCCGATGCTATCTGGAATACTCCCACTGAGTTGATTGCGAGAGAGATCTATGCTCTCTAACTTAGAAAGTTGCCTGATGCTAT